AGTAGTAGTAGTAGTAGTAGTAGTAGTAGTAGTAGTAGTAGTAGTAGTAGTTGTTGTTAATCTTGGCTAATCTCAGATAATCTCAGAACTACAGAGCTGGAAGGAACCCTATGGAGGCACAGCGGGATTTGAACTCCCAAACTCTTATTTATTCATTTATTTATTTATTTGATTTTTAACACGCCCCTCTAGACCATGTCTACTCTCTGACTCCTCAGCCAGAGACCTAAACCACTGAGCTATCCAGCAGTTATTGGTTGCCAATCTTTTTGCCTGAGGCAAAGCAGGGAATTCCCCATTTTCCATTTCTGATGCATCCTCAAAGCCGGTGAAGTAGAAAAATCTCACAAGCATCTCTCCCACCACTCAGCAATAATAATACAAATCTACAGATAACGGCAATGTTGCTATCTTAAACAATGTATGTGGGAACATGTCCCATTAAATCCAATATGGCTCACTTCTGAGCATGCACACAAAGGACTACAGTGTTTTAAAAATGACCGCTTGCTACATTTTCCTGACAGCAGGTCACCTAAGGCTGAGACCCTGAAGCTGAGAGGGCAGGCTGTACAAGTTAAAGGGTGGCATCTGAGAGATACTTGTGACCAGAGGCTGAAGAGAAGGCTCACCTATCCATTTTGGTCTACTGATGGATGGATAGTGAAGGCTGGTTGTGCAAGAACAGAGCCTAGTGGTTCATGGTTAAGACACAGCAGAAGCAGCAACGAAGTTAAAGGGTGGCATCTGAGAGATGGCCAGAGGCTGAAGCAAGAGAAGGCTCACCTATCCATTTTGGCCTACTGATGGATGGATGGTGAAGGCTGATTGTGCAAGAGCAGAGCCTAGAGGTTCATGGTTAAGACACAGCAGGAGTGGTAACTTGTGGCCCTCCAGATGTTGTTGAAACGTGACTCTCATAAGATTCAGCTTGTAAACTAATGGAAAGGGGTTATGGGAATTTGGAACCCAGCACCTTCTGGAGGGCTATAAATTGCTCAGCATATAATGGGCCAGGGATGAAGTAGCCTTTAGGCACCAAAGGGTGTTATGAACAGCAAAAAGTCATAGCAACAAAAATGACCAACCACTTTAGAACCAGAGAGGAGTTTTAAAAGTCCTTTATTAAACCACCTGTTGGAACTTCTTGGCTCAGATCTTCCTTATCCTTTTGCTCCATGAATGGAAGGAGAGTTTTGCTCACCGAAGTAGTCCTTCCATTCATGGAACAAGATGTTAGGATCCAAGCCCTTGACTTTTTGCTCCTTCTGCTCTCTATTTTACAGTTTTTCTGCCCTGCTGTTTTTGGGCAGAGTCACTTCCTTCTAGCTGTTTTTTCTGTCTTTCCCGTGTGTCTCCAAGTTATTCTCTACTTTCCCTGCTCCATGTACATAGATACAATCAACCTCAAGTACTTCTACTTAAAACCCACCTGATTCTGGTCCCTCATCCTGAGATTTTATCCCTCCCCGGAAGAACAAAAGGAAAACCCAAAACATCTTGTCTGCATGAAGACAATCTGCATTTTTAAATACTTGATGTCAACTGCTTTCAGCATCTTTTCTAAATCAGAAGGTGTGTAGACACTTACCAGTCCTGACACTTACCAATCCTAATGACAAGAGAGCAATAAAGCTGTCTTCTACACCCAGATATACCTGCTAGGATATAATATCCATTTATATGAGGCAATGAGACAAAAGTGTTTGTTCATATATAATCATGCAGGTAAGCATGCACACATACATACTCAAAGAGCTAGAGAAACATTCATTTAGACACTGCCTCTCTCTCTCTCTCTCTCTTTTAATGATGAATGTTGTCTTTTTTGAAAGATGCACAAACAGCCAATCTATTTGATAATATAGTATATGCCAAAGCAGTTAGTAGTTCCTCTTTGCCCCAAAGGTACTGCTGCTTTGCTAAAGAAATGCATCTTTAAAATCCTACAAGGTAGCCAGACTAGTGGTGTGATGGGGGGGGGGAGAGGTAGGAGAGACTTGGGATTTTTAAAAAGAAAAAAGAGAGAGAAAAGTTCACTCATAACATGAGACTGATGCTTATCTGTGTCTATTTTTAACAGGGAAAATAACAGGCAGTGACTGTTTGCAAATTAAGTGGATTTTTAAAAGTGCTATAACTCTTGTTGCTGAAAATCACATTACAAATAATTTCCTGTGTGTAAAGATTGTTGTAACTGAAAAACATTGGTTCCCTGTGAAAATTGTTATTCTAGGAGGATTGCATGGATTTAAGCTGTGATTCAAGGGATGCATAAATATGTTTCACAGAACAAGACAAACAGGGTCGTTCTAACAGGAACTTTGAAACTATCCCTTCACTTAGTCCAATCAATGCACAAAAGTTTCCATTTGGCTGTAGCAACTTCCACTTCTAATGTCTGCTGGAAGGCCAGAATACATCCTCTTCATTAACACTACCAGTGTAATTTATTAACCCACTTTGGTAGTGCTTAGATAATTTTGCAAGATATATTCTTCCTTGTTTCACTTTTCTGCCTGAAGGAACTCCATGCTGCTGAGGCAGACATAGGTGGCAATCAGAATACTGCAGTGATCAGGGCTCTTTATATGTCTGCAGTTACTGTCAGAAGCAACAGCTGCTACAGAGAGCTGGGGGGTTCTGTTTTAAATCTTCTGTGCATGCAGAATCAGGATGCCACTCATGAACATTCAAAAAGTATGAGCATCTTCCTCGGATCCATTTCAGTGGTTTTATGCCTATGTCCAGCTTTGACAGAACCTCAGCAATATGTAAATAAATAGCACTGTAATTGCTGTTTTGTAGAGGTCATGGTGTCCTCTGATAGCTGTCCAAATAGCCAGCCACACCATGCAATTTTGTGACTTCTCAATACAGAGGAAAATAACTTTGGTTTTTACTGGCATGGCATTACATCTTATTTTAAGTGTTTTAACCACCTAATCTGAAGAACTGCTGCTCCAACAGAGAAGACCTTAGCTGGGTCTGACCCACAGCAATTGCCAGAATAATATGGCAAAGCCGAATATTACGCTAGCATTGCTGACGGCTGTGCCAGCACAAATGTTTGAGATCCAAGTTCATCCAGGAGATTAGTTTCCCTTTCTTAGCTCATCCTTCAAATGTCAAGTCACAGGCTAGAGAATTGCTCCATCAGAAAGCTCCCCCTCTCCTATGATGGTTAGTTTAAATAGGTTGCCTTTGTTGCCCTTTCATAATTTGACAAACGAATTTTTAAAATCTACTTATTAGAATTTTTCAGAAAATTGGTCTACACATCTACAGGAGTTTTTTTAAAGGGTCCTACAAGTAATGAGCATCCTAAGAAATATGAGAAATTAGGGTAAACATTTTAAACCAGATACTTAACAACAAAACTAAAGCAAAACAGTGATGCCAATCGGAAGCAACCTGTGTTGTAAAGAAGAGAAAAAGGGGACTATTTCTGTTGTGCTATCAATTCCCTACTGTGCCTTGGGAGAAGACTCAGCCTGCACCCCAGGAATGATAAACTACTGAGTATTTTCTACCTGGAAAACCCTGAGAACGGTTGCTGTTAGTCAAAATGGACTTAATGGGACATGCTGATGATCTATCTTACATTCAAAATGCACTTGCCCTGACTTTCACTTGATCGTTTGGGGGCTTCCAAGAAAACAAAATCAGTGCTAAGTAGATGAGAAAAGGATATTATCTGTTTACAAATGTATTTTTTTGCCCTTTGTGCCTCATACATATCTTGAAGAAGAAGGAGTCCTGTAGCACCTTTGAGGTTTGTTGGGCATAAGCACTTGTTGATCACAGGTTGAAGCATGAAGCCTCAGTAAACTTTTCCTCTCCGTAGGACTGAACATGGTGCTTCCCATTGGAGAAATGTCCAAGGAAATTGCTGTGTGAATTTGTTCCAGGGAAAAAATAATGGAGTCATGTGGCACCTTGAAGAAGAACAAGATTTTATTTTCCAAACAAACTTTTGTAGATGGCAGCCCACTTATTCATGTGTTTTACATCGACTGAGAGAGTACTCCATACTCCTTGCTATGATACTATTTTTGTTGCAGCAAAAAGATATGATTATCATTATCATTGCAGAACTGCAGGGCTGGAAGGGACCCTTATGGATCATTAAGTCCATCTCCTGTCAAAGAGGCACAGTGATGAATTGAACTCCCAACCTATGGCTCCACAACCAGATACCTAAACCTCTAAGCTATCTATGCACTTATAAACACCACGAGTTACAGATAGTTTCTTTTCCTCATTCATAGCATGCCTAAGAGTGTGGCTGTCTATCTCGAGAGGGCAGGTGTCTGTCTGTAACAGCTTTTGACCTCTGTTTTATTCTGCTGCATAACAGAAATGGCATTTACATTTATTGCCTCTTATATCTGTAGGGGCAGTCAAACGAAGAAAACACTGGAGAAAACGAAGGTGGAAAAGAGAATGAGGAGGCAACTGAGGCTCCCAGTGAACCAGGAACTGGAGATAAGAAGGGTGTCAGTAATGGCAAACCTCCAAAGCAGGTAAGATATGTGGGTCTGATATGTTTACAATAAAGTGGATGCTGTGTATACTGCTAAAGTGTTGAAGGAGAAGCATGCAACGCTGTATTTTTTCCAACCATTTTCTCCTCAGACAGCTATTAACAGTGCAGGAACCCCATCCTTTTCTCCATCTGGCCACCCTTCTTTATCTGTGGGAAAGAGTGGTCTTTCAATAGCCCTACTTCAGCCATGTTCAAGCAGAATCACATATAGAGCATGGTTCAAGGGTGGGAAAAGGAAGAGCAGGTGTGGTAGGTGTATGATGTGGACAGCACCTGGAGGTCTAAAAGCCATTTGAGTCCACCACTGCTCACTGCTTCAGTCAGGATCACAAGCTGAGAGCTCAGCTTATTTATGACTCAGGGTCAAACTAGATAATAAAGTTTGCACATCATTAAAAACAGCTGTGTTGAGGTGTAAAACAGGAGTGTGTCTGTTTGCTTCCAAAGAGAGAAAAGTCTGTTGGTGTAGTGGAGCTCTTAAGGGAGAGTGTGTGACCCAGAAGAAAGCCATTGGGATAGAATGCCCCATGACACCTGACTGATGCTTTGCCCATATCTCTTTTACAGCAAGTCTTGTGCTAGAAAATTTACCGAATAGCTTTTGAGTGACCACACTGTGTCACACACTCAGGCTAGCCATTTTCCAAATTGTTTTGGGCCACGAGTAAGCACAGTATCTCAGTTTGTAGATCAAGTTTGGAATCCATCCCTTGGTTAGAAACTTTAGAGTGACTTTTTCCTCATACTTTTGAAAACAAACAAACAAACAAACAACCATTTTTGTGTCCATGCAGGTGCCGGTAAGAAAAGAGCCTCTTCAGAAACCAGGGAAAGAAGGAGGCCCTCAAAAAGTTGAAAAGGACAAAGCTCCGGAAAAAGGCGGGAAAGGGGAAGAAGAAGAAGACAGTGATGAAAACGAGGAAGAAGAAAACGAAGAAGAAGAAAAGGAGGAGCAGGAGACGGTGGATGAGAATGGAAGTGGTGTCAATGGGACAAGCACCAACAGCACTGCTGAGGAGAACGGAAATGGAGGCAATGGAGAAGAGGAGGAGGAAGAAGAAGGGGAAGAAAACGGAGCAACCACTGCTGCTCCAACCACCCTGCTTACCACTGTCAGCCCCACCACAGAGTATCAGGACCAATATGAAACCACCACAGAAGACCAGTGGCAAGGTGAGACCACCCCTGTAGATCATCAATATGACACCACCAGTGAAGACCCATGGGCTCATGATACCACCACTACCAATGGGTACGACCATGGCTATGAGGCTCAAACAGATTACTACGGGAGTGAAAATGGATACCCTCGAGGGGATACCTTCAGAACCTATGAGGATGAATATGGCTATTATAAAGGGCATGGGTATGATGTTTATGGCCAAGATTACTACTACAATCAGTGAAGAAAGGAAGTCCTCTCTTGGACTCATTTATAAACAGATTTTGCAATTGTTCTACTCAGGAAGATGCATCGCAGTGTAACATGGTGCTTATTAAACAAAACAGATGATTCATATCAGGTTTGACAGCTAACCATGAAAATGTACTCCTTTTTACAGGTTTTTTTTTAATGTGCTTTTGACCAGTATTCACATATCTGTCGTGGACTTTTGTAGAGTTTGTAGATTTAAAGAAAAAAAACACCAAATCATGGTGCAGGTGAATATTATATGTCAGAATTATGATCAAACTGAAGTCTGCTGTGTACTATATTTCCTCTGATGTATTTGTATAAAAGCCAAGATGGCTTTTGGAACAATGTACAGACTGGATTTGCTCTAAGTAAAAATAAAGAAGTATTCCTATGTGATGCTGTTTCTTTTTATCCTGCACTGCCTTTGATAAGCTCAGATGGGCAGCAAAGGGAACGTTTCACTGAACATGCGGTACCAGCTGATTTTGGAAGCTAAGCAGGGACAGACATGGTTAGAACTGCAATGGGAGGCTGTTACGGCATGTTCTCTAGAAAGACATAGGAAAGAATTCTCCTTGAAATTTCTAAGACTTGCTGCCTGTCAGAGCTGACAATACTGGGAGAAAAGGATCATGTGGCTGATTTGTTATAAAGAAGCCTCCTCTGCCTGTGAAATCCATTTAACTTTCCGAAAAAGTTTTCTACTTTTATCCAAGTTATGCCCCAATGAATACCCAGTGTGGTAGAGTGGATACAGTGATGGACTCCTTAAATATCTCACTTACCTTGAAACATAGGAAAGAATTCTCTTTGAAATTTCTGAGAATTGCTACCTGTCAAAGCTGACAATACTGGAAGAAAAGGATCATGTGGCTGACTTGTTATAAAGAAGCTTCCTCTGCCTGTGAAATCCATACAACTTTCTGAAAAAGTTTTCTACTTTTACCCAAGTTATGCCCCAATGAATACCCAGTAGAGTGGATACAGTGATGGACCAGGACTCAGGAGGACTGGGTTCAAATCCCCATTGAGCCATAGGAACTCACTGGAGATGTGAAACTGATAAAAGCATTCCTTAAATATCTCACTTACCTTGAAAGCCCTATTAGGGTCGTTAAAAGTGGTTTCAGCTTGATGGCCCAGGACACAAAGGAATGTGTAGCAATGAAAACCCTGTATAGGTGCACCAGATGTCCTCCAGAGATTCCATAGAGTTTTCCTATGTTCTATGCAAAGACATGGTTTGCCCTCCATAGGACCTTTGTCAATGTATAATGTGTAGTCATCAATTAACACAGAAGGTGAGTTTTGCAACGTTGGTTTTTGGAACAATGCTTTCTCTTCTTTAGCCATGGCTGTAAAAGAGAGCCATTTGTTCCTGAAGGCTCCTCACAGTTACCAACAATAATTGTTGGAGAACATCCAGACTTGCTTGCTGCAGTGCATTGTATATTGGGCTTCTTGGAGACTTGATTCAGAATCTGACACCCAAAGTAACTGACTGGAATTTATCAGTGGGAAAAATCGTCACAGTGTCTTGGAAAGAACAAAACACTTAATTGGATTCCACTTCATTTCTAGGCACTGCTCAACCTGCTGGTTTTGAGCACTGACCTTTGAAGTCCCTTATAACTTGGGGCTTCAGTATCTGAAGAACAGCCAGCTCTCTTATAACCCTACCCAGTGTTTCTCATTTGCATTTTGTAGAGTTGTGCTGCCTTTTATTCACATTGGATTTTTTATATTTCTAAAAAAGGTTTTGTTGTTAACCCTCTTGGGATGTTTGATGATGAATGCCCACCTGGATTCTCTTTGTTGATGTGACACTAGTTAGTGGTATATAGAGAATGATCTCTTAAGACAAACAGAGAATTTGCACAGAATATTAAAACCACTATGAAGAATTTGCCATTTTGACAGGTTTGGGCTAAACCTGGATAGAATTGTTAAATCAAGTTTTGTAATATGACAATAAGTATTGTCCCTGTTGCTTCTACACTCCCAATATGTTAAAGCATCTAAACGCATACAATTGAAAAATCCACCAAACTGTTTGCCAATCCCAGTTTTTTAAAAATATTCAGAACATTTTGCATTCCAAACTCAGTTAAGCCATAGCACTATAATGACATGAAGAATAATATGGGGGCAGGGAGACAAGAACTGAAAATCTTAGTTCAGGAGAGGAAATGCAGCTTGATGGGGATAACTGACAATTGGTGGAATGACTCTCGTTACTGGAATATTGAAGAATATAAATTGCTCAAAAAACCCCAGAAATAATAGAAAGGAAGGTGGAATATCAATATATATCTAAAATATGTACAGAAATACAGGAGGATGAGCTTGGTTGCCCCATCAAGAACATCTGGATTAATATAATTGGGCCAAAGCCCCAGAAGGAACATGGCAGTTGGAGTCTACTACCAACTGCCCAATCAAGGAGAAGATGCAGATGAAACCTTTGAAAACAAATTGCAAGGATTTCAGAGATACAATGCAGCAGTAATGGGAGACTTCATTCATAGACACACATACCTCTTCCAAGAAATTCCTGACATGTTGCTGATATTTTCTCCTACAAAGAGTGGAGGAAGAAACTAGAAGATTAACAAACCTTGATTTGATTTTAACCAACAGAGATGACTTGGTGGATGAACTGGCAGTAAGGGGAGCTTTGGTGGGGAATGTGCCCATGTGATACTTGAGTTCTTGATTTCAAAGGCATACTAGATTTCAGGAAAGCTGATAAACTCAGAACAATGATACCTATGGCCACATGGCAGGAGATTGTAACTAGAAAAGGAGTCCAAAATGGATGGGATTTTCTTTGAAAACATACTACAAACAATTCTAAACACACACACAGAGTGGAAGACAGCAAAAAGACATTTGTGGCTTCACAAAAAAACTCAGAGAGGATCTGAAAATAATAATAAAAAAGAACACATAGAGGAAGCAGAAAGAAGGCCAGGCCATAAAGGAAGACTACAGACAAGTAGCAAGAAATTGCAGGGATGGTGTTAGGAAAGTAAAAAGCTGAGAATGAGCTGAGGTTAGCAAGAAATGCTAAAAGCAACAAAAAAGCATTATTCGGGTACATGCATAGCAAAAGACAGAGAAAAGAAACAGTGGCTTAGCTGTTCAATGGGGATGGGAAAATTATAAGAGACAATAAAGAAGAGCAGAATTGCTCAATTCCAACTTTAGCTCAGTCTTTTCCCTAAAGACAGTTTATGACACTCCAGGCAAATATGAAGTAACAGTGGAGAAGACTGCAGCTTGATATTCATAAACAAATTGTAAAGGAATACGTTTTTACTTAGAATAAGCTCAAACCCCCAAGGCCCAATGAAATGCCTCCAAAGATATTGAAGGAGCTGGCTGAAGAGATCACAGAACCACTGTCTATTGTTTTTTCTGAAATCCTGCCCTGCGATATTCTGATTATCAAATTAACTTGGTGTGCGCTGGATAGAACAACTGTCAGGTGGATACACAGTTGGTTACAGAACTGTACTCTGAGAATGCTTATCAATGGCTCTTGAACTGGGAAAGAGGTAACAAGTGGGGTACCTCAAAGCTCAGTCCTGGCACTGGTGCTCTTAAATTTTAATTAATTACTTGGATGAAGGGGTGCAGGGAATGCTTATCAAATCATCAGATGACACAAAATTGGACAGAATAGTAATAACCTGGAAGACAGAAACAAAATGGACATTGCTACCCAAAAGCATCTGGATAGCCACAAAATGCCCACCATTAGTCCACACTGGCTAGCTATGGCTTTCCAGGATTACAAAAGAACTCTTTCCTGGTCCTACATGTTGTATGTGGCGTCCCCTCAAGTCAAAACTGGGCTTTAAGATACTTGAAATATTTGAGAAGTGGGTTTACCAATTCCAGCCTCCCTTTGAGATTCCATGGCCAAGTGGGAATTCAAAACCAGATATCTTGAGGCCGAGACCATCATTCTCTTCACTACTCCACTGTTATGTGGGGTCTTTGGGATTTTTAAGGTTTAACTTGTAAGCCACCCACAGTAGTGTGCGCGCTAATAGGGTGATATATCAAGGACTCAAACAAACAAACATATAAACTACACTGGACATTCCATTCCTACATAATGATGAATCTGGAACCTTTCTTATGCAAAGCATTGTGCTCTACCACTAAGCTATAGCCTTAATTGTGGTTAGATCTGACATTAATTCATGCTCATTGTCGGAAGATATACTAAATAATGACTTTGTATAGTCCTTCTTTTCAAGTTGTTATTGGGCAAAATTGATTAGAGCAGTGGTCCCCAACCTTGGGCCTCCAGATGTTCTTGGACTTCAACTTTCAGAAATCCTGGCCAGCAGAGGTGGTGGCTTGTGGGAGCTGCAGTCCAAGAACATCTGGAAGCCCAAGGTTGGGGACCACTGGATTAGAGTACTGGAAGAGTGAGCATATTATCTACTAACAGCATCCAGCTGCATCAAGGACTGCCACAAGCAGATCTCTGTACATATATAGTTGATAAATCCCACCACCTTTTATTTCCATGACTGCACAAGTAAGAATTTGTTACACCGAGAATCCCAGACTCTGACCACATGAAGACCTTATTATTGCAAACATAAGGCTGAAAATATGGAAAGGTTTGCTCATTCCACACAAGCAAGAGTCACACTCCTCAAATTATCTAGGTTTTCTTTCTATACAAGCCCATCCATAGAATAAATGACAAAATAACCATATGCACATAAATTTGCTATCATATGATCAGATTACATAGTTGCATAACAACGATATCTGTATATTAATAATACTTTAAAAACTCTTTGTATGAATCATTGAAGATTATATTTCAATCAAATATGCTAGTCACAGCAACAGCATATACAGGTACTGGTAATAAAACAACAGTGTGTATTATGGTTATCATTTTAGTGGCAATAGAAAATTGCAAAACAAGACTTAACAAATTCACCAGCATCCATCTAA